AGAGACCTTAAAGCTGTATAGATACCTTCCTCTTTCTGTCTCTCTTTCTTTCTCCTTCTCTTTCGTTCTTTCTCTCTCTCTCTCTCTCACACACACACACACACACACACACACACACACACACACATATATATATATATATATATATATATATATATATATATATATATATATATATATATATATATATATATACGCGGTCTGATCAAAAAGTATGCAGACTGTTGCTATGGTGGCGGAGCTGAAGTAAGCAGAGTGCAGCCGCTTGGTACAGACTGATACTAAACTTACGGATGCACATTAAACTATAACGTTCTCGCCCACTTTCACCGTTTATAGCAGTGCTTGGAAAGACAGTGTGTAGAGCATGACCGGCCCACCACATGACAGTGACAATGGCTTGCGCAGTAGTTTCTGGCCAAACAGAACATTCCTCAGGCACGACAACTACCATATTCTCCAGATCTCGCCCCCGTGCGAATCGACTTTTTTTCCAAAAGCTCACTTGTGAAGAAAAGGATTTCAAGACGTCGATGTCTGAATAGGAGCGTTTATTCCAAGTCTTCGCCTGTTGACGCGGCTGGAATTTGAGTGAGCGTCTTTCTATTTTTTTTAAAAAACTTTTAATACACCAACCCCACTGTTAATTAAGGTGAAGTTATCAATATAACATTGATGGTAGTGGCAATATTTAGATCGCAAAAACAAAATGATCAGTTCCTTTCCCACTCGGTCTATATTTCTTGAACTTGTTTTATGGAGGAGAATTACACCGTCATTTCTATAGAGTCTGGTGTCCTTAATTTCGAAAATAAATCTTAGTCACCACACTAACATAATTCTAACAACTTCACATGCCTCTACTGAGTCATATGCTCCCATAGCAATATTGAAGTCTGTGTTACATCTTTTGCTCCACATATAGCCATTATAGAATAATATAGGTTTTTTGTGCCTGCTTTATAATTTTTAATTTTCGATCGCTAATAGGGCAGTAATTTTTTACTAAATTTATAGCAGACATTAGCGGTGGACGTGTAAAAGTCACAAATATCGAATTGGACGAATGTACATTCATTCTTTTTTATATTAAATAAACCAGTCTATGGCTTCTGCAGTTTTATGCCACTGGTTAATTCCGAGAACATCTTTCGTGTAATTTCCTGCTCTTTCAAGGATGTTTTGCTGATTTTACCGATATTAATTTTAATTGAGTTGCGTAATCGGTATTGTAGTTTGCTTAAGAAATTTGCTTTGTGGTCTTTAACTGTGATGAATGCTTGCTGTTTGTGAAATTTGTAAATCTTATCATCAATTTTTAGTTCAGTGGTTATAATCTTGGCTTCACTATTGATGTTATTTTCCCAGTTTATAAAACTTATTAACGTATTTGTTACTAACTTTATGGTACATATCCACCTCGGTCTTGCAATGGCTACCCGTCTTATCTGCTTTGATAATTATTTCATCTGATTTTTAATCATTGAAACATCCGTTTGCAGTTTTTGCTGTAGATCATTGGTAGTTTTAACGAATTTAATTTTTGTCCGACGCTGTGGAAGACGCCAAATAATACATTAAATGATGTTCTTGTTCATCTTCATCCTTTACTAACTTACGTTTATTAAATATAGATTTTTCTCACTTGGTCTCCTTCATAGCTCGCCTGACCTTTCGGCTAACCTGATGAATATTTAAGAGCGTTCCGTTTGAAAAACCAATAACATTTATGCTCTTGTATATAAATAGTTGTTACACTATAAAATCTTTGCATTTGGTTTAATGAAGTCCTCCAGAGGATTAAACGCGTTGGCTGAGATAATTTTTCTTTTGTCTTTATTTATATTGTTCTTTTACAGATACACTCTATCTGAAATTTGACATATATATATATATATATATATATATATATATATATAAAAAACTCATCTATCCAACCAAATATATATATATTTTGGTTGGATAGATGTGAGTTTTATTTATGGATGCGCACTGCTGATGAGTCCCAATTATAGGACGAAACGGCCGTCCAGTGCTTCCTCTATTCCTGTTGAGGTTTCTATCAGACTCAATGAATTAATTAAATATAATTATCAAATCCTCCTACTAATTACTATATATATATATATATATATATATATATATATATATATTTAGTTGGATAGATGTGAGTTTGTGACCCTGGGTTTCACGGTTTATCGATCGTCAGACAAACCCCTGACGATCGCTAATGCGTGAAACCCAGGGCCACAAACTCACATCTATCCAACCAAATATGTTAGCTCTATCTCTGATATTGAGCGCTTTCTAATAAGTACCGCGCATATAATATATAAATAATTATACATATATATATTTATTTATATTTATATACACTTTTCACACACACACACACACACACACACACATATATATATATATATATATATATATATATATATATATAACTATTCAGCTAATCATGAGTCTTTTGTGCATGACACAAACATTCATATGCACTTAATGATTATAAAGGTATGGATTTTCGCGACGAGAACTAGAGTTTAGAGTACTGTAATTCTAAGTAATTTTTATTATTGTTATTATTATTATTATTATTATTATTATTACTTAACAACCTCCACCAGTAAAATGTTTAAAGTGGTTTATTACCTGTGCCCTTTAATGCATATTCTGCCTATCATAACACCATAGCCAGTACTGATGCTATATATATATATATATATATATATATATATATATATATATATATATATATATATATATATATATAGTGAGGTAGCTCAGATGTGACACAAGGCCTAATGTATGGGGTACCCAGTGAGGATCGAACTCACTACTTAGTTATAAAATGTTACACTAGCAAGACAAGCTATATAATATTACACCACCTATATAGGTATATACATATATATATATATATATATATATATATATATATATATATATATATATATATATATATATATATATATATATATATATATATATATATATATATATATATATATATATATATATATATATATATATATATATATATATATATATATATATATATATATATATATATAAGCCTACACCTAAGCCGATCGCCAGGGAAAGCTGGCTAAAGGCAAAAGAGAAACAGCATATTTATAGGCGATAATCAAAATCATACCACGTGACCAAAGAAAAAGAAAAACAAGAAAAAAAGACAAACAAGAAAAACAGAACACCGTGGGAGGGGGTAATGATTTATTCTCCACTTTTATATTTATTTAACACGAACAATAAAAGGTGGAATAACAATACAAACAGGGAGATTAGACCTAATTCAATATATATATATATATATATATATATATATATATGTTCGAGGTGTTTTATATCGCCGCTGGATTTTTACTCATTCTTTACAATTAAATAATTCGCTGATATCGACCACTTTATAAATAAGCATATTTAACATAAATATTGCATATCTGAAGATCATATTTTTATCAAATATGAATATCGGCAGACAATTGTTGATACATCCTGATGAGTGGATCAAACGATTACAAAAATGTTCGTCTAAGAAAATTGGAGTCAGTGTACTGAATACAACTTCTATCAGCTATTTTATATTTGTATTATTCTCAAATCTACAAATCAACCATTCGCCCTTGCATGGAAATTGTTGCCATATATGGTCTGGAGCCCCTTTTATTTGTCTCGAGGTCCTTGATAAAATCCAAAGACGGATATGCAATATAATTGGCCCTGATCTGACATCTCATCTGCAGCCGCTCTCTCACAGACGTGCCGTTGCCTCACTCTGTCTTTTTTACAGATATTTTCACGGTAACTGCTCTAATGAGCTGCTTTCGCTGGTTCCCAGACTTCATGAATTTAAGCGTTCAACCAGGCTGTCATCTCGGTCTCACCCTTTCACTGTCGAAACTAATAAATGCAGCCGTCTCTTCTACTTCAATAGCTTTATGCCTCGCACTTCTCGCCTGTGGAACTCCCTCTCCAGTTCTTGTTTTCTTTATAGTTATAATCTCCAACTATTCAAGTCTAACGTCCATCGACGTCACTAGATGCCCTGCTCTATGTCCTAACCTTCTCTTCATCCTTTCCTCTATCACTCCTCTTTGTTCTCACTTCAACTCTCTGTAACCCCTTGCGTGCTTTTGGCTTCCTTGCTTGGGGTTGAATGCTTAATACATATATATATATATATATATATATATTAATGTTTGTATGTGTGCATGTGTGCGTGTCAAAGATGAATCAAATCATTGTCATATGTTAAACCCTTTATACACAGCTTTATATCAGACCCTGTATATCATACCTACCATGCGTAGCTATATCCCATTCCCCTGAAAATTCGAATCATGTTCTTAAACAGACTTGTCAGATGGAAACTTGCACATATCGCCAAACCCGTTCCGAAATACCTAAACTGTCAGCTGGATACAAACGCTTTCACAGATCAATGGTTAAAATGGCTTCAACAGCAGGAAGAACTAAAATTGATATCGAAATGCGAAGCGAAAATAATGGTTTAATCAAGATGCTAACATTTCACTCTACTTCAAATAAAAGGTTAGGAAGAAAACGCCCGTCAAGAGCTATAACAGCTAGTGGATTTGAGAAATCTATTTAAGTTTTAAGATAAAGATTTTAGGAATCCCAACCGACAGTAGCGATGGCTACTCGGTCAATAATTGCCAAATATTTCCTTATAAGGAAACGGCTAATGTTATCCTTACCATATCATACCTACAATGCATAGCTGTATGTCACCCTCTCTATTGAATACCTATAATACATTGTTATGTATCAACGTCTCTATATAATGCCTACAGATCATCGATATATATATATATATCATATTCTCAATGCAAATAAATATACATAGAAAAACTAATGTGTTGAGTTTTTTGCCAAATGTTTGAGTGTCATAATTGTCGCCATGACTTTTCTCTTACACTTTTCTTGATTATATTTGATGTTCTCTTTCATTTCAGTGGCGGCATAAGCTCCTATGGTTGGCGACCTTTTCACGTGCTATTGTTTTCCTGCCATTTTTTCTTCTCTGTAACTATCAACCGGATGGAATCGAAAATCGATCCATACCTGTGATCTTAAATAACGATTATCTCTTTATACTTGGTACCGTCCTCCTTGGGCTTTCCTTCGGATATTACAGCAGTGTTTGTATGATGTACGCTCAAAAGTAAGTCACGTTTTCTTTTTACTTACCCGATAATACATACATGTATGTGTGCGTGTGTGTGTGTGTTTTGTGTGTATTGTCGTTATTTTGCCACGGTTGATATTTATTTTTTATTTTATATTATTTTTTACGAGTACTTTAGAACGTTGATACATTCGATTACAGTGAATCGCAATTTAAAATGAGAAGTAGCGTAAATATACACAGAACAATCCTTGAAAACGAACGTATTAACATTCGAACGTACTCGAAAAAATAATAGAAAAAATAAATGGGAACTTTGTCAAATTTACTGAAGACATAAAAGAACAAATTTGGAAATCTGAAAATTTTAATACAAAAATTGATAGACAGAATTTGTTTATATAATTCAACCAAACATATTTGAAAGAATTATTGCTGTCAAATATATATATATATATATATATATATATATATATATATATATATATATATATATAGTGCTGTTCGATAAAAAGTGGCTCACCTGATTTTTTTACTAAATGTTCTCTTCTCCGATGAAACGAAAGTTGAGCTAAATTCAAAGGATAAGCGATCTAAAATCCGAAGAAGAAGCTTTGAAAGCTCTTTGAATTTAACAGTAAGTACTGTCAAGTATTCGTTCAGTTTAATGTTCTGGAGATGCTTTTCTTTTCATGGAACTGGTTTCTTAAAACCTATTGAAAAGACCTTCAGTAGCGAGCAGTACAGGAGAATTTTAGAGTCTTGTCTGCTCCCTTCTGCTGGAAGGGTGCAAATTGACCCCACCAAGCTCATTTTTATGCAGGATAATGCTCCCTGTCACAAATCAAAATTGATGAAGGAATACTTTGATGAGTAGCAGGTGAGTGTCATGAAATGGCCGCCCCAATCTTCTGACCTCAACCACATAGAAAACTTATGTACAGGCTCTCGAGAAAGCAGTTAAGCAACATGCTTCATAAGTTTTCTATGGGGTTTAGGTCAGGAGAAACCAGTTCCATGAAAGGAAAAGCATCCCCAGAACATTATACTGAATGTTTCTGCTTGACAGTACTTACTGCCAATTTCAAGAGCTTTCAAGGCTTATCCTTTAAATTTAGCTCAACTCTCGTTTCATCGGAGAAGAGAACATTTAGTAAAAAAAATCAGGTGAGTCACTTTTATCGAACAACACTGTATATATATATATTAAGAAATATACATAATACCTCAATTTTTTTTTAAATAAAAATAATAATTCCATCATTTGACAATTGCTTCGGCATGAAACTCGAATTTGTACAATTAATGTAAGGTATAATGTATGTATTGCTTAATGTATATATTACATACCTCTGTTATTTAACATTTCTTACTATATATATATATATATATATATATATATATATATATATATATATATATATATATATATATATATATATATAATGTATGACAAAGTGGAAGAAGTTTTTTCTTGTGTCATGTTTAGGACATACATTTATTATGTTGGTGCGACTACACATGAGCACGCACGAGGCATACTGGGAATTAAATCTAAAACTTTTTTTTTATTTTTTAATCTAGCCAATTTCATTTAGATTTTTTTCTTTCCATCAGTTTTGTTAATAGATATCCCATACCGTGATAATAGAAGTTCTGCCAGGAATGGTGAAATGTCGTAAGAACCCGGATGCAAATATACTGTGGATCACCTTGCGATCAAGTGTCCAAGATGTTTCCATTTTCTTTCAGTTATGCATATTCACAAAGGTTTTACGTTTGTTCGCTCATAGCCTTTTTTGTTATATTGAGGGCTATTTTATAGCCGTTAGTTTTTTGTTCTGTGGAAACTATTGAATAATTTTCCGTCTTTTTTTTTTTTTTTGTTAATTCCTGACGAAAATAACTAGATAGTTCCATAGAAAACAAAACAGAAAAGTAATGGTGATAACATGCCCTCCCCAGGCAACACCAAAATAAAATATTTTTGTGATGCAATGAATATGGCCTCAGAATGAGAAATCGAAGACCTTAGTTCGAATTCCAGTCTGGTTCGTTACATTCTCTTACGCAAAAATACCCTTGAAAAAGGTATATGTATCCAACTGTTTCCTCCACCAGCTATGGGTTGAATAGCAGGACAGACTGGGTTCTCTAGCCTTGGTTAGTAACCAGTCTATCTCAGAAATAAATGGAAACATACTGCGGGTAAATCTTCAGCCTACTCAGTCATGAATCAAAAAAGATATGATCACCAAGGTGTTTATCACGTATGGCTGACTGACTGTTAATCCCTATGTCTCACTGATCGAGAAGTTTAATAAGTTTTAGTATTTAACATCAACATTAACATAATAAAATATAAATTGTTTTTTTTTCTTTTTATCAATCTGATAATAAGCGAAGATTTCCTTCATTTTTCTTTTACAGAAATGTCAACCTTGAAGACGCATTTTCAACAGGAATGTTGATGAACACGATGGTATATGGTGGCATGTTTAGCGGAAGTTGTATATCACTCTTCTTTCCCTTGATCGTATCCCACAGGGGAAATGACTGATTCAGTGGACACCGTATTTTAAGTGAGTGCATAGTTGCGACTTTCACTGTCCATTTCGTGGTGAATGCAATTCTCTTTTGTAACATTTATCGATTAAAGATTTGATCTCATACTGTCTTCTATCGTATTTTCGCATACACACACACATACACACGCACACGCATCCCCCCACACACACGCAAACGCAAATCATGTACTCCGTAACCCATTTGGCTCGTGGGGTACAAATTGTACTGCAACCCTAACAACAGTTGTACGTCTCAGGCCTAATGGACCCCGTCTCCCCCTTCTGGCTGGTTTTCAGAGTTTTCCTTTTTCTTTTCTTTTCTTTTCTTTTCTTTTTCTTTTTCTTTTTTTAATCATTTCACCCCAAGCAAGGCGGGAATGTTATTAGTTTACAAGGAGTGAAAGTGAAAAAGACGACTGATAATGGTGGGGATTGAGGTAATGAGTACAAGAATCGCACCAGGCCGAAATTGGAGTACTGCTGCCATATCTTGCAAAATATCAATGCCCAATCTCCACTTCCCAGTCTTAATAGAGTTAAAAATTGCCTTGTGGGTGATGAATTATTTTCCACCCCTATCTCATTATTTCCGACTGATAAAATTGGAAAAGAAAAGTTTATCGATTATTTTTTGCTCTAAAATATTTCATAAAACGTGAACAAAAATTCCCTCTATAAATACTACTATTAGTAGCTATATCGGAGTTCAGAAATGCGTTTTCACTCTGACACAGAATATAATACTGGGCAATAAATTTAATCTGTTATATTTTCAAATTGGATCACCTTCCTCTAACATCGGCCACACTGACGGTCTGTCACGGTTAATAACACGTCTATGAATAACTTAATCGTTATTTTGATCAAACTTAATCAGCAGTTGAAGAGTTTTTTTCATAGTACTGTTTGGGCATTAACAAACACAGACCAATCAAAATAGCTACAATAAGAGCAATCTAAAAGTTTATGCATTGTCTAAAAATGGTTTGAAAGAAGGAAGAATTGATACAAAATCATCATCAATTCTGATCTTCTTTTTCTATCTGACGTTTCCTTTCGGGACGTTTTTTATCAATTTACCGCAGCAATGTCACTAAGACGTAAAGGCAATACCATATAGGAACCGGTAATATGGACTGATCGTGGAAAAACAATAACAAAAAAAATTTTAATATGACCTCTGGTAAAAAAAAAAAAAAATACTGAGACATTATGTTTATAAGTATCCAAAATTCATCCACTAATCTCCTTAAGGATACATGACCCAGGGGGTAAAAACGTTGGTTGAAGTAATCCATTGATTTGACCCAAAGAGTTGTGAGTTCTGACTATAGCACAGTTGAACAAAAAAAACTTGGAGAGTTAAGTTTAAGGGAAATAACTGATAGTGAGATATCCGGAGGAGGCATGGGACTAAAACAAATCTCAGTGGACGAAATAAAGGGGTTCGGGTCAAAATCCCAATCACCTGCAGAAGGTCGAAATGTCGTGAATATATTGAAGACAATAGTCCGAAAAATGTAAATAATGTAGAAAATTAAAATCTCTCAACTCAGTAATATAGATAGAAAATAATATCTTCTTTAGTTGCAAATCTAGTCTGGACAAACTTAGAAAATTTGAATTCTATGATAAAACCTCTGAGTGTTTTAAAAATCAAGTTTCGAATAAGTTAATATTTCTGCAATCTGTCAATTTTCCAATATTACTCCCTATTAGTGCCTCTCTTTACTACTAAAGTTAGGAGTAAATGAACCTTTTATATGCCTAACAGTATACAACTTATATATATATGTATATATATGTATGTATATATGTTTTTTATGGTACAAAATTTAACACTAAAAAGGAACAACCGCTTTTGTCCCAGGACTTATCAAGTTTATTTTTCTGGGATATAAAAAATATATAAGCGTGTAAATTAAATTTTTATAACGAATGGACTGGAAAAAAATATGAATTTCATGAAACTAGAGTCCGATAACATTCAGACCCAGGTAGCATTCCCTCTGTTTACAAAGGGAAGGCCCACGGGATCTGATTTCCAAGGACTCTAGAACCTTGAGATGAAATGTGGAGTGGGGCCTAGATAAAATCGATAAACAATATATATATATGGATACATGGATAGTGTAACGGAAATGAAGTCGGCGAACCGAGTTCACTTCTAGCGTGATCCTGTTTCGTTCAATTCGCACTAATACCCTTGAAAATGGTTTGAATTCCATCTTTCCTAATCTGTAGCAGGGCTTCTTTTCTTAATCCGGGGTTCATGGACCCCGTGTGGTTCAGATAATTTATATTCGCTATACAGCCATTGTTCCGATCAACGGTTTCTCATTGAAAGAAATAAAAAGAAAATGCATCCTGCCACTACTTACAGTACCGACCGCTACGCGTCTCTTTGGCTTACTGTTGGGTCTACATTTACCAGTTTAACATGTTATCTTTTTCTGCACGACCGTCATCTTTTGCCACTCTGTAAGAGCACGTGATAATTCTCATTATCTACTGTTTATCACGACGTTATTTTCTTCTCATACGCTGGTGAGGATTAAATTGCTACAATTTCTTTCTAGCGTGTCTGGTTTAAAAGTGATGCGTGCACAGTGTGCATGGAGAAATGCACGTACAAGTGTTGTGAAAAAACAATCAGACTGTCAGTATTTGCTTGTTTGTATGTCTGTGTATGAAGGGATAGCTCATATAGGGGTCAATGACTAAAGGGGTCTTTTCTAAAGTACCGACAATGTTTAAGTATTTAATCATATGTAGAAGGTGCGATGGGTAAATTGTCGCTATTTTATATTTTTAATTTCGCACATGCGTGTTGCTTGTTTTTGATTTTATCAACTGCACAGTATAGTAGAGTCACTTGGGCACCGTCTGTGAGGAAAAGAGCACCATGACGCAATTCACTCCACCATAGCTTTGGAAACAGCAAGCCGTACTTCTTGGCATTCGCGCCGGAAGCTAGAAAACAAACATTTCAGAGTGCTTGGGTGTCAATCTGAGGACAGTGTAGCGGATTCGGAAAGAGTTGTATGAGTCTAATTGTGATTATGAAGGTACACTCTGGTCGTTCTGATAAGAAAATAAATACCGAATTTGTCAGTGTGGGCCTGAGACCTACATCAAGTGCCTGAGGGAGGTAATGCTGCTATGGGTCAAGAGTGTGGCTGCTGAAAGACCCTATGTCTGGCCATAGGACTCCACACCATGACACATAAGTAGGAGTACCCAGTCATGCGACCACATCACCCCTATTTGACCATCTCACCCCCCAGACTGTAAACCCCTTGATTATTATGGGTGGGGCGTAGTTGTGCGGGAGACCAACAAAACTCCTTGTAACACCAAGAATGGACTGGAGACAAGGATTATGAGAGCATTAAACAAAGAGACCGTCCAAAAGAGATTCCGAAGATGTCTGGAGGCCGTAGTTGACGCTAATGGTGATTTTATTGAATAAATTTACTCTTTAGTATTTCAAGATATTTTTGTGTAATTTTGTGTAATATATCTGTTAAAATGAGATTTCACTTTTGCGTAATTTAGACAACAATTATCCATCGAACCTTGTGGAGTAGTTATACTGAATTGGGTACACGTTAGCTTGCATAAAATGATCGATTTTTGTATATGTTTAAAATTACAGGTATTTTTTTTCTTTTCGGAAATATATTTAAACTAATTAATACTGTCATTAAAAAAAATTAGTTAAGTAAATCTGTATGAAAAAAAATCAGTGCCTCTAAGTAGTAATGACAACGTACGGCCTTTATTACCTTCCATCATAAAACAAAGTTGTACATGAAAATGTATATGAAAAATTATTAAAATTTTCATTTATGTTTAATTCTTCCTGAATATTAAATTAAACGAATAACATTCTGTCTCTCTTCCAACAATTAACACACACACACACACACTTTTTTTTATATATATATATATATATATATATATATATATATATATATATATATATACATGCATACATATATATATATATATATATATATATAGAGAGAGAGAGAGAAAGAGACAGAGAGAAAGAGTGATTAAAATGTGCTATGTTTATTGAGAAAATATGCTCGAAATCCATGTTAGTGTGTTTTTAGATATAAAAATGTGGACACCAGAAAAACACATGGTAGCTGTCAGTTTCACACCCCAGTCTGAACTTAAAACAGTATATATATATATATATATATATATATATATATATATATATATATATATATATATATATGATGGACTATTTTCGACGTATGAGGTGTAAATGCTGATGCTTTTCGCTGTTGTCTTTCGTTTCTTAGCCGATCAGTTCGACTGATTTCAAAATGTCTGATAACACTCTGTCACAAATATCTCCAGTTATTTCTATCCAGAGCAACTCGATCGAATTTAGTATGAGGCGCATTGACAGGTGAGAGGTTACACTTTAGCTTGTCTTTATATCTGAGACACAGCCGTCAAACACTCCTTTGTCTCCCATCAGGCTGGCTCTCCATAAGGACATTCGGTATTCTGTCGTCACTCAACAACTTGCAACATGACCAGCTCAACGAAGTTCTGACTGCATCAGGAAAGTCTCAATTCCACCAATGTGGTATTATACATACATACATACATATATATATATATATATATATATATATATATATATATATATATATATATATATATATATATATATATACTCACTGCATTTTTAAAATGTACGCCATTATTTTGCTATTAAGTCTATTGACTCGTGTTATTTTAGAATCTTAAAGAATTCTGTATTCTAACCCATTAATAGTGAGAAAATATATCGCAATAAGACTAAAACAGACAAAAAAAAAATTCAAAAGAAATTTATTATTTTTAACGTTAATCGTTTCTTCGAGTGGCGTTGTTTAAATTATCTTGTTATTACAATACTCCAGTATTTAATTACTAAGTAGCGGGACCAGGATAAATTGGTTTTATTAGGATTTTAGTCATTTTTAAACGGATTTAAATCGATTTAAAAAGATGGGCTCCCTTTCTAAAGTTGATAACGACACGCTTCGGCTGTGGGAGTGCTATCACAAGCGAAAAAAAGCGGATGAAGGTTCAATTCCTCTCCGTAGACACATTTTTCTTTAATCAGACTTTTCGGTCTAGGCCGGTTGATATTAATTTCACTGTTTAAGAAAATTATAAAAAAAAAGGGATGTCAAAACAAACACGTGTACTCACTAAAAAGAACGTTTATAATAATCAGATATTTAGTACAAAATAAAATTTAAGAAGGTGATTAAGCGATGTTTTTTTACACTTCTGAATCTTCAAAAGTATCTTTTAATTTCTTTTTCTTTTTCTTTCTTTTCGGTGTATCGATTGTGTTTTCAAGAGGTGAAAGTCTGACTGGAGGTAACTTCATTCCATTTCTTTTCATCTGGATATCTGGGTCATTGATTAAGAAAGACGATGTAGACGGCCCCACACTTTCAGAAAACCCATTCTGACCATTGGATGAATGCACGTTTCTAAATTCGTTATCCATATCATTTCCGTCATCGCTAACATCTTTTAAGTCATTTCGTATCGGTTGATTGCTCATCGGTATAAGTTTACCAACTGTACTTTTACTTGTTCCCGAGTCGGCTTCATCAATGCCAGTCACCCTTGCTTTCTTTTTCTTGAACTTTTTTCTGCAAAACAAAACAAAAAAATTAAAACCAATGTTCGTCAATATTAAATCAAATAAATTTTCTCGTGATCAATTACTCCGTAGCCTAAAACATTTATTACCTATTTTTTATCGAGAAAGTATTCACTGTATAACATATGTTCGATTCATATGTTCCACGGACAAGCAATGGGTTATGAACATTAACAAAGTGGAGGATTATGTTGAATAATAATTATTTGCTTTTTTTAATGAATGCTTTTTTATCATCAGGCTACAGATTTATTTATATGTCTACGTGTACAGCTAGCTAAGAGATTAATTTCAGATATTATATATTCGTTTACACTTTAATGAAGTTGAATATAAATTATTATAAGTATGAAAAACTAACTTGTATACAGGGAGGGCCAAAAGTAGGCTTACAATTGTTCTCTATTTGTTTCACGTTTTAGATCATAGCTCAGAACCAGTGCTACCGTATATACTCGCATACCTGAGGTCTGATCAAAATGTATCAGGACTGTTGTTATGGTAACAAGGCTAAATACGCCTAGGAAAGTCGTTTGGCACAGATTGACCTTGAACTCTGTCGCGCGTGCACACTAAGTTATAACCTTCTTGTTCAGTTCTGTTGTATATAGAAATGATTGGAAGGAAAGTGTGTAGAGTGTGGTAGTCTCGCAACACCACAGAGTTTCAATCAGTGACTCTAGCTTGTGCAGCTGTTTTTGGCCAATGACACATTCCTCAGGTCTACAATCCCAAAGATTTCGCCCCTTGGTACGTTTTCCTCTTTGCAAGATTTCAAGAAGTCGATAAAAAATCCAACAGAATGTGACGAGGAAGCTGCTCGCTATCCCCTAAAAGTTATTCCAGGAATTGTTCTTTCAATAGAATGGGACTACTTCGAAGGAGATTAAAATACCAAAGTGATATGTGTTGTAATTTTCTTTTTATAGCAACGGTTCCGATACTTTTTGATCAGACCTCATATATATTTATATATACATACATTGTGACAAAAGTGAAAAATTATACAGTAGATTCTAGTTAATTGAGATAAAACGGGAAAATAAGTAACTGAACCAATTAAGCGACTCTCCCGGTTATGCGAAACAAATTATAAATAATCTAAATACCTGCGTTTTCAATTGGATCTAAACAAAAAGTAGATATTTTGCTCTACCGAATCACAACGACTAAACAAACTTTTGCAAATAAGTAAAACGTTAAAAACAAATTGTTAATGCTTCAATGTTTTACAATATACAATAACATACTGATATCTCTTATTGACGTTTAAATAATTTATCGAATGTGCCCCGATGCTTGTCTTTTAAGTGAATCCGTCTTTTGCTTTTTTTTTTTTTAAATCCTTTCTTAGATTTTGTATAGACGGCCTTCATTACGTTCTGTCATAAAATAAAGTTATAATTTCTGTAAATGTTTCATCGCTTTGTTCTTTAGTTTTATCGCATTTTCGGAGGTTTCAGATTTTGGAGATATGAAATGGCATATAATTGTTAACTTTACCTGTTCATAAGTAATACACTGCGGCAGGTTGATTTTTCAGAAAATCAGTATTGCACTCGATGTGAAATCTGTCGTTTTATGTGATAAGTACTGACACCAAAATTAGATTCATATCGTTTACCTATTTTTGAGCATTTAGTTTTTAAAATAATCTGAAAAATGTAGAGAAATACCTAATTTCCACATGTTTATGCTTACAATGTGACTTCAAAATTTTACTATTTCAAGAATAAAGCTAAATGAAGTTAATATCTTTCGTATGAGATACGTTGAATGGATAATATATGAACAACCATAATTCTAATTATGAATCACCACAAGCAAAATATGCAATGTTTTTACTGTATTCGATAAGTTAAAACTGTAAAATAATGTAAAATATTACAAAAAATTATTAAGTCACAATAAAAACAAAAATAGATAAAAGTATATATAATACCAAAATACTGCTGGGCACAAATTATAAGACGAAATGTTTAAGTTTTCACTGTTTATTGAAAATCACACAAACTACTGCACTGCATAACAGCTAAATTGTTCAGTATAATTTCCCTTTGAAGTAAATGAAAGCGTTATTTGAAGGCACAATGATTTAGTAATAATGTTCTTGTGACATACTTCCTGTCCATATATATAATTTGTAAAGCTTCACTAAATTAAACATGTTATAAGGCTGTGCTATAAGGCTCTCACTGATCACCGGAATGAAATTCCAACGCAACGATTTTGAACTTAAACTTAATCTTTAAACTCGTTTCCTCAAAAAACGGTAAGTTTTTTCGGAAAAATATTTCATATATTAATTTATTATGTCAAACACCAAAATTTCAAATTGAGTGCAATACCAAGATTCAAAAATCTACCTGCCCTAGTGATACACTACAGATATGACTTGACTAAGAATGGCTGAGTGTTTCATCAACCAAACCATGATAGCCCATTTCAACGAACTTGTGTTCCATATAATCAAAGGAAAATAATATATAAATATACATTGATTCTATTGTTTTTCAACATTTATTTCGAATAAACGGATACTCTGATAACCAGAATCTACTGTATTATTAGACTCACTTGATTATGCGAAGCATTTTAAATGAAGCAATAAACAAGAGAAGCAAAAATTAAATATGTTACAGCATTTACACACGTGTTGCTTGTGCGTTAGTGGTATTAATGAACATCGGATACAAAATAAAAAGAATTATTAGTAACTAGTTTTATCCCGTGAAAAATGTCACGAATTTCTTATTAGAAATTTGTGATCAATCTTAATTCTTCAGTTAATGATTGAATAAGATTACATGTAAAATATCCGTAGAAATTCTCTTATCAAATTGTTAAATATTTGAGCTTAACAACTTTAACAAAATATTGCAATAGCAATCATAAATATGAACGCTGGTCGTTATTTTAAGACGTAAGTGGGTACAAATGAAAAGATTTGAAATTGACAACTTTTTCCATTTTACTGAAACAGACGTTAAACACTTTTACCTTCCCTTCTTACTGTTGTAGAGTAGTTTTCACAGTGGAGGCTTGTATTTCAATAAGTCGGTCCTAAAAGGGTCCGACGTACAAAACGTTAGGAACTTGAAATAAGAGTTAATGACGCAGCAATCTAGTTGTGATGGTTGATACTTCAATGTCCGACATCGACTGACTCACTCAACTCCACTGAGCTCAACTGGCGACCGCTACTACTACTACTACGTATTATGTGTGGGAGAGTCTATTACAGTAGAATAGGTAATGTTCCGGTATAACACTTACTTACATTTACTCAGTGAAACCAAGCAGCGTCTTTGATATGTATTTTGTCTTCTCAGACAATCAAAACGGAATAGGCTATTATTTAAACGTTAAACACTTCTATATTTCTTTCTTTCTTTTTTCACTGAAACCATGTAGCGTCTCTGATATGTCTTTTGTTTTTCCACGCGGTCAAAATAAAATAGTACATTATTTATGAGGTATTGATAGGGCGTGACGGTCAAGACAATTATTATATGATGAAACATATAAATTAAACACTTCTTCCATTTTTTTTCTTTCATTTTCTCACTGAAACCAAGTAGCGCTTTTGATATGTCTATTGTCTTAAAGGAATAGTTTGTTATTTATGAGACATTAGTAGCAGACGTTAAACACTTTTCTTGTAAGCCTCTTTCTTTCTTTTTTTCACTGAAACCAAGTAACGTCTATGGTATGTCTTTTGTCTTTCCACGTGATCCAAACGGAATCGTCCATTATTGATGAGGATTTGGCAGGATGTAATGATCGTGTCAACTAACAACAGAAGGGAAAAGCATAGTTATTACATGATGTTTATCGTGTCAGATATAAGTCTTTTATTTACCCTGTAGTTATCCTTCCTATATGGACAAAGTCCTTGTTCGTTATGGCAAAGAAAGCTGGGACAGACAGGAACATCAAAACATAAGGATAGAACACTTTATGTTTTAAGGGGACAAGGTGCACTAGTTCTTCATAATACGTAAGGTTTTTCCATCCTTATCCAATCGGAAAGATTGGCCCATATTAACCTGACTCATTTTTTTTTTTTGGTTTTTGTTTATAACCAAATTTGAATTTCTTTCCTTTCTCTATGATTCAATTGTCACTATATAATCAAAAACTGGTAATATTTGCCTACAGGTCTATAAAATACATTTAGCATTGTGGCAAATAATAAGTTGACTCTTTAAATTCGAATATTTTTTTATGGGGCGCCCAGTATGGAACGAACTCAGTACTAATTGACAATCAGACAAAACTCGCTAACAATTTCTTAGTGCCTATTTAATTTGGTTGATTTTACGAAATGGCAACCCTTCTTTAACATCGAATTTTTGTATGGACCACACGGTTAGGATCAAATTCACTGCTCATTACTGTTGTTGACCATACTAGATTCATTCAGCACAGAGAAGTGCCTCGTAAATGAAATGAATTAAGAACATATTCTTTTGAAGAGTAGAATAATTTTGTGGATTCGGGTAGCAAAAAAGATTAGTTGCGAATAGAACAATTAGAATCTATAAACTAATCACTATGATCATTTATTTTGCAAATAGATATTGTTTTATATTTGCAAATACTCCTCTTGCTTTCAATATATCCTATAGTATTCAACAAGCCTTTTTCCTCATTCCGCATCCCATAAATTTCAGCCTCAAATTACTTATTCATCTTTGAGGAAATTGCCCAACATCCATTGCCATATAGAAGGAATGATATTGCATAAGAGTTCATCACTTTTCTCTTTGCTTCTAACCAGGTTTTCTAAAAATTAAAAAATACTAAAAGTAGACAATATTGTGTAAAACAGTGTATATGGGATTACTTTTCATTAATTTGGGATTATATATATATATATATATATATATTAAGTTAATTGTTAATCCGTATGGATAATTCCAGAGAGGATATAAATCCCGAGAGCCCAATGTAGTAAACAGAGCAAGTAATAATTAATTAACCAAT